GGGGTGTTCCAGCGCCAGCTCCCGCTTCGCAGCGCCTGCCCTTCGCCTCTTCGCTTCCGTCCGTCGCGCTGCATCAGCCTTGAAACCCTCTTCCATCGGCGCGTGGTACTTGGTTTGGACAATCGGGCTAATTCCGAGGGCGCCGAACTTCGCCGTTGACGTTCTGAGCGCGGGAGCGTCCGTAGCAGCGGTCCCCACTGGCGCCTGATGTTCCATGGGGCTCATCATACTAATTTCATTTATCTCCTGTCTTCCTTGTGCTGCACTACAGTCGCGATTGCGATACACTAGGGAGGCGGTGCGGTTATTGTCAGTGCTATTCTGAACATAAAAATGAAAAATTCAGGGATCAAAATGCCTCGGCAATAAAGCGTTCACATGGCATGAATCAGTCATCAGCCAGGAGGCCAATCTATGGAATGAGGAACAAAAGTAAAGGTGAAAAAGATCTGTTCCTAAAGATGTTTCCTGCTACATTAAATTTTTAGTTTAAGTACACTTAATACATAAATAATGTTAAATAATACACTTAGGCCCATTTGTATTTTTATTACAGAAACAAAACAATCTTGAAATTAATTTTCGTACAGGTAAAAATGTAATCAAGTTTAGAAAAATAGGACAATTTACTGTGAAGCTTGTACTGGCGAAATTGCAATTCTGAAACTACATTTGTAAATGTAAGAAAACTTATGAACAATAGTTGCAAAAATGTACATCAATGCACCAGAAATTCAAGGGTGAACACAGGAAAATACAAATTCTTTAAAAGAGAACAGTAAAACAATCATCAATGGAGAACTCCTCCTTTTGCTAAAATAGTAAATCTTATTTAGCAGGAGTGTTCCTTCTTCTTGGTCCATTAAGGCTGATCTTCTGGAAGAGAAGAACCGCGTCGACAACACAGAGAACAAGCAATACAAGACCAAACACCTATAAAAACAACGATAACGTTAGTTTCTCCATAGAATCTCTATCTTTTACTGTATAGACTCATCTACCATTCCTCAAAGAAGCAGTAAACACATCTTCCTAAGTTGGTTCTGGCCTTCTAAATATACGTGCGATGTGAGACAGCTGATAAATAACATCCATATTTAAATCTCATCAGCCTTTCATACAGCAGTCTACACCCTGGCTTTGTTTGATGTTTGTCTGAAACCTTGGAGATGTGTTCTCCTTGAAAGCTAAGCTAATGCTGGATTATGCCAGGCAATGCTTTTATCCTAAATGAAAACCCTTCTGTCTCTTTAAGGACTCCCTAATTAATGGTATTGGCCCAGAGAAAAATCAACATTTGTAGAAACAAGCCTAGCAGGAAAAAAGCAGTGCTTCGCTCCTCTGAAGCACTGAACGGGAAACACATTCCAAATTGAAGAAAATGTATGTAATTGTTTAAAAAAAATACACAACTTGAGGCAGGCAACTGGAAAAATGTGTTTGCAAAACAGCTGCTGAGTTAACTTGCTCAGCTCTTGCCCTTCAGCCTGATCCCACAGGCAAGCGATTTTTCGGGTGCAAGCATGTTCTGAAATGGAATGATCTGATCAGTGGGAGTAACGCTAAAGTGAGCTTTCCAGGAGTACAGTTCAAGGCAGTCTGTGCCCTTGGAGTATAGGCCCAGGGGCAATTCTGTTCCTCCCAACTTTGAAGATGTCACACGTTCTGCCCAAACTTGTTTTCCAAGCTACCTGCTTAGTCTCCTGCATCCAACTTAACTTTAATTTCTATTAACTTCACAACTGAGAATATAAATTATATTCTAGCATAGCCAGTCTGATAAAGTCTCCTGTCTGCTTAGGCTGTCATTGTCAGCACCAGCGCAGACAGCAGCTTTGCCCCTCCCTGGCTCTTAAGCTGACTTTGAAAAACTCCTGTGGCAAGTTCTATGTTTCTTTTGGTTGCTTGTCACATTTCAGCTTATCTTGTATTTCAGGAGACTGAAATGCTTTCAAAACTTGAGTTTCTCCCCTTATTCTTTATTAATGTTAGTTATATTAGTTTTAATTTGAATCAAAATACCAGTTGCTTAAACTAATAAGTACACAAAAATCTTTATGTTCATAGTATGAAAAAAACTTTTCAACTGCCATAATTTCTTGTTTGTGTGAGAAAAAATAATATATACATCAGGAGGGAAGCTCCATTTGGCAGAATTTGAGACATTTCTTCTTAAAAACTGTAACCAAACTGGATAGTCCGAAAAGAGCTACGGAGTTTCCCACCTAGGATTTCAAGCTATGGAAGCAAATGCAGGTTACTCAAATTTGTTAAACTGCAGGAGTTTTCAGCATTAGTACTTCTATGTAGCAATTCCGACATCTAGCAGTATCTTTAAATTACCAGTGATCGGAGGATTTTTTTTAAGTGAGACAAAATGAATGCATATACACTTGTGTTTGCGACTGCTGGGTATGTTCTTCCACGACAAGTTATTTTCATGGTCTTACGCCAATGTCAGTATACCCAGGGGTTCAAATGATGTCTACTTTAAGAACTGAAATTTGTTAGTAATGTTCCTACTTACTCCTCCAGCCAGTGTCCCATTGTTGGTCTTAAACGTTATTGCGAACACGCACACAATCAGGAGGAACAACGCTGCAATCACCGAGTTGAAAATATCCTGAAACAGCCAGAGGACGCAAAATATTCTGAGGTACACACCTGAAGAAGAACGTGAGTAGCTCCCAATATTGTACGAATCATTAAAAATTGCTGGTTTACTATGAAAATGGAATTACACTAATATCCGCGTAAGATCAATAGTGACACCCAGTGGTAGAGAGCGTTTAAAAAGAGCGTTTGTGGCAAAATGAGGAAGTTTTATCTTTTTTTTTTTTTTCCAGTCAAATTTATGCAACTTGGCTCTGCTTGATAGACTAATGCAGCAAATAAATTTAAAAAACGGAAGCAAGAGGCAAACTCGTTAACATTCAAGTGGCAGTGCATGTCTAATTTCTGATGCGAAAGATGAGAAGTGCAGCAGTACGAAGTCGAGCAGGCGATGCTCGTTACAGGAGGGTCTGCTAACGGAGGCAGGCAGCTGCTTAGAGACTGATGCCCAAGAACAGTGTCACCTCTGTCAGGAGAAACTGGTCCAACAACAACGCAACCCTGGTTTTCGCTTTAACTTTACAGAAGCAGTAACTGAGCGGGCTGACAATAACCCCTCTCAACAGGCAATC